CCCCCTTTCACTAAAAAATCACATCAGCATGATGATAGCAAATCATGTTACATTCAGTTTTTTGCTTTTATTTACAGTTATTGTTTTTCCACTTCCTGGTTGAGTAATGCACTGGTGATGTAGCCCTGGCCTCACAGATGCATCCTGGGAAGGTTTCATCACCAGAGCCTTGCTGAGGAAATCTGTAAACTGCAAAATCAAAGAAAAAGGCATTTTACCCCTGCGATGATGTGCATGGTCACGTGCCAGAGTCCCGGGAAGTAAAGGGAGATGTATTCATCTGCCTTTAGGGAAAACGGCCGCTGTGAGAAGGATGGGGAGGAAAAGAAAAATAAGATATGCAAAGAATAATAAGTCTGCAATTATCTAGAAGTATGTGTTTGTAGATTGTCATTAGGGGGCGCGGCGGTGCATTGAAGTCAATGACACCGCAGCCACGCTCCCCGCCCGCAGAGTGATCGCCAGCACCCGGAAAGCAGGCACATTAGTGCCTGCGCTCTGCACTCCAGTGCAATCTGCATAAATGCTGCAAGCACTATTTTTGCAGATCGCACTGGACCGGAACACAGGGAGCCGGTCCGCTTCCATTCCAGTGCGTTCCAGAGGCCGAACGCTCTGGAACGTAGACTTTGTGGTGTGAACCGGCCCTAAGTACTTGAATCTGACCTGATATCAGCCTTCTACAGTCCCTGTACAGCAGGGCTGAGGTGTAAGAGAAAGAAAGCACAAGGATCCATTTAGTTTATACACCAACAAGAAGCACACTGATAGCAGCAGTGTAGAGGTAGTGTGAGGTAAGTGCTTCTGCTTTCCTTTCAATGTCCAGTCACAGGCTGGAAAGTTGGTCCAGGATGATCTGGGCTCAGAAGAAGTGGGTTGAATGATGCTGGCCATCAGACTAAAGACATCTAGTGGCAGAGGAAAGCAATGCGAGGGGGAGGGGGATCTCTGGTTTAACAAAAGCTGGTTGTGTTATTTTTTTAATGAGCTGCTCATTTGTGTCGTGTTATTATTTAGTGTCTGGTTTGTCACATACATGAAGCAGTAGTGTGGTATGCTTCCAGCCAGCAATTGTCCAATATGAGCTTTCCACAAACCACAGCATTCTTGTAACGTCCTAATTGTATTTCCTGCACAGTACGCGGCTCATGGCCTCCGCTTTAGATTCCGATGTAAACAAACTCTCGTTACAGGAACGGGAAAGTGAACCAAGTTGGTTAATGAGGTTTCAGTCTTTTTTATTTTTTTTATATTTAACGTTCACATATGTGATCACTTTGTATGTTGAGAATGTATTTGTGTTTTATGATCTTTGTGTGAAGAGGTCACAGCATGGTCTTCTCTAGAATCTGATCACACGTTATCGCGCGGATCTGCATCTGAACTATGTGCCTCATTACCTTCCGATCATGAAGTCCTACAAGTCCAGTGTTGTAATGTCAGGACGGTCTGGATACCAACTCCCATTCCTGTCATGTCTTCTGTTTGATTCCCGTGCTTTCATCCTTTTGCAACAAAAATATTTCCATCCCAAAAAATGTTTTTTTTAATTGTTTAAAGTAGAAGTAGAGGAACAGTACAACAATGAACAGTCTTTATAGGGTTTTGTGTGTTCATGAGTCTATGGACCCAAAACTGCAATTGTAAGTATGTGGTTATGAGCGTAATCGGCTACTCCCGGGGCGTCCCTAGAGTTTTCACTGACCGGAGGTGGGGCTGGGTTGCTGGTGGTGCACACTATGGAGGGGCTCCCTGCTGACTTCCCGCCCAGTGATGTCGCTGGTTGCCAGAAGCTGGGCAGGACACCGTCCAGAGCATCCCAGGCTGCTAAGAGCTGGGCAGGGAGAAGTGTATGGCCCTTACACATCTCCCCGTCTGGCTCTTAGAAACCTGGGACACTGTGGCCAGAAAGGGGGCGTCAGGCACATGGCAAACATTGTGCAGCAGAGTGGCTGTACCATTCTGCCTGCTGCCTCCCCACATGACCCAAAAAGATGCCACCTGAGACCACAGCCTCGGCTGTCTCATTATAGGGATGACCCTGCAGCTACTGGTTGCCGTTACCCTTCAAGGACCCTGGCAGTATAGAATCTACAATGGATTTGCCAGATCTGCCCATCATCCCAGACCAGTTTTTCTCCTCTATCCTGCTAGAATTTACACATTGTTTATTGGGGGGAATGCAGTAATAGCAGAAGGAAGAGTGAGACTTTGTATTGTGATGCCATTGGAAGAACCATGAGGTTTATGATACTACTAGACCAGGGGTAGGCAAACTCTGGCCCTCCAGCTGCTGAGGGGCTACATATCCCATGAGGCACTGCAAGACTCTGAAAGCCATAGGCATGACTTCCAGATGCATTATGGGATTTGTAGTTTCACCACTACTGGAGGGCTGCAGTTTAGCTACCCCTGCACTAGGTGATTCTGTTTACGTGTTCACCCCATGACATAACTGCAGTAGGACCGGTTCACCCCATAGTGTTGCTCTAAATGCACACCTAGTGTACGGTACCATGTGCTAGGTGCGCTGCCATTCATTTGAATAGCACCCCAACGTCCTTCTTGGCAGCTCTGCGTTGCAGCAATGGTGTGCGTGTGTTGCCGCCTGACAGGTATTTTGAGAGCCAGCGGGGCCGACTAGCAAGATACTGAAGCTTGGCCCAGTGGGAGATTCCTCCATCCACACAGTTTAGCGTAGCTGGAGGAATCTGTTGCACTTTTTCCATCTGACCATAGAAAGTCTGCAGATAATCTATAGGTGTGTGACCAGTTTAACAATGAGCTTCTCTTATTTGCTCCCTTTTGGTGTATTAAATATACGATTTAAAGCGTTTTGTTATATCTGCGCATTGTGCAAAGACAAAATACCTGTAGATCCTGCCAGGAATCTGGAATGGTCTTGTGCCCTCTGCAGTCTTCTCTGAGGGGTAATAATCAATCTTCCCAATTCCCTTAGGGCCCATTCACACCATAGCATTGTGTTAATTGCACACCATATGAAATGCTCACATTTATCTGTGAGGGAGTGGTGGACACAAGGAACGCTGGGCTTATTCCATAGACAGCCAGCTGTAACCATTGATGGAATGTGGTATAGCCATGGTATCAGATGCTTACATTTAGTACTATGGGGGAGCTGTAGACACAAGAAAGCCTATACAAGCATACGATTTTTGTGTGTTTATTTTACTATTGGTCTGCATAAGATTAAAGGATAATCTTTTTTTGCATATATAAGGCTAGCAAGCAGTAAAAAGTGTAAAAAAACGCTTTTAAAAGGGTTAATCCTTATCCGTGTCTTCCCCGCATGCTCCCGTTGGCCCCAGGACCCCTTCGGTTCAGGAGAACCGAGGGGGTGCTGTACGGGCTATTCACAATAGCCCGTACAGCTCCCGATCACGGCCGAGCAGCTCAATTTAAGGTAGGTGCTAACATTAACATTGGGGGAAGGAAAAACATTTTTGCCTTTAATGTCACTTTAAGGCCTGGTTCACACCTAGACGTGAGTGTTTTTGCGCGTTTGTGATGCACCTTTTTTTTATGCGCATACGGCAATAAGCGCGTTTTTGTGATCAGATTGTAACTCATTGATGTTAATGAAAAAAAGCGCATAAAAACACGCGAAAACATAGCAAACAGGCTTTTTAAAGCGTTTCCTGTAATATGCCAAATAAAAAGCTCCTGTACTTTTTCCAGCGACAGGCGTTTTGCTTTTTGCGACAAAACGATCTGATGTGAACAGGGCCATAGAAATAAATGGGATTTTTTTGGGGGAGGGCAGATTTTTGGAGCGTTTTTTAGGGCAGAAAACACGCCACAAAATGCTCAGTGTGAACCAGGACTTACTGTGGTGTGTCACAGTGTGCTACTGCAATGCAAAGTAACAGATTACAACACATTGCTTTCCTATTTATTTTGAATATGTTAAAGGAGAACTATGGGGTTAAGTCAGCACTGGAGGATCGGAGCGGGGAGGGGGGAATCCAGCCCCTCCCCTGTCACGGCAGAGAGCCGTGACAGGATCGAGAGGTGAGCGAACCCGGTATGTGTTCGCTCACCTCCCGATCTACTGAGCCGACCTGTGACAGGTGATTTTCACTCACCTCATAGTTCTCCTTTAATGCAACACACAAAGTGAATGGGCTCTTCTGGATGGCAGGAAGCTGGTCAGTGAAGGCTTCATGGGAAACGTCCGCCTTTGATACGGCGTCAAACAATGTGTAGAATTAATATTGTGACAATTACCATTTTTACAGAGTCTTTCTTGTTCTCACCAATGCAGGACAGTTTTTTCCACACTACTTTAGGACTATGAATTCAGCAATCCTGCATTCCTGTAGCCTGGCCAGGTATACAGAGCCAGAGTCCTGTTTGCTTTGCTTGTTTATATGTGGATAGCGTGTCAACATGCAGACTGGCACAAGGTAAAATATTCAGACCCACAGAATGAGGCACAACTAACTCTAGAGCAAATCAGTCTTCCTCTTGTTAAGGAAAGGTTTTTAATGTTGTTGCAACCAGAGATGTACATGGCATAAAACTTTTTTTTTAAATCAAAACATGACAAATTCACAGTGCAAACGGCACGATCGTTACACCATTTAAAATACTGATCTCCTCCTTGGGTGTTATGCCACCACAATGCACCTGGTTCAACTTCCCGGTCACAAAAACTGATTCTGCCCTACACGCTTCACCATAACCTGACTTCTTCAGGGACCCCTTTCCTGGAATTGGTTTACTTTACGTACATATTTGGTTTATCCCGGCATTGTCATCTTGGAATATCTTCTGTCTGCAAGGACTCCATGGGCTGCACAATACGTGCCAAAAAAACGCAAGTTGAGCACCGTCTTGTAAATCCAGTTATAAAAGACTAACATGAGAACACAGATGACATCACAAAACCTTTTTTTTTTTACTTAATTATACTTTCAAAACAGGTTTTTCAATCTAATGTCTGATCCTGTGTGTGGGTGCTTTATATTCTCCTTTAGTGAAGATTATGGGCAGAGTTGTCATGTAAACAAAGTTTGTCTGGTTTGTATTCCCCGTGCTGGTTGAAGACCTGAGATTGATGGTTTTCCAGTTGTGACTTCTCGGAACCTCATCTAATTCTGGGCTGCAGTTTAGAGCAGTATCTGGCATGAAGAAGTAATTTTAGATGCCCCAGAAGAACGGAAGGGCTACACCAGGTTGTTAGAGAGTCTTCGTTGGTTCTCAAACTCTTCTTCTAAATCTGCGCTGTAAGCATCACCTGTTGAGAGACAATATTATAGTCAGTTACCAGTGTAGATGAGGACATATTATATATCACATTCTAATGTTTGATACATTATTGCTTATATATCACTCATGTAATCAATGCAGTGTGTGAATAGGGTACACGTTTTGTTGGTGCCCCTTGTTCTGAAAGCAGAAGTGATGAGTTAAGATGCGGCTTGAAAAACTTCTTCTACAAGTTACAGAACATTTCCACTGGATCTAGTTTCAAACAAACAAACAAACAAAAGAAAAAAATACAGCATTGATGATCCTGCACTAAAAGTGATGGCCTGATGTCAATGTGCTGAAAGTGAAGAGAATGCCAACAAGTGATTAAAGGGAATCTGCCATGAGAGAAATACTTGAGCTGTCATTGCTAAGCTTCCGGGGATGGAAAACTTTTTCAGTCTACGTACGGAACAAAGTGGATTGCACTTAAAGGGGATCTATGGTCAAAAATGTCAAAATAAATATGTACTTCTATATTGAATTTCCATAAGTTCTATCCCACTCCTAATAACCAGATCCATCTAGAGGTTTGTAAACTTACTTATTGAAAATGCCCATAGGATGGATGTCCTCAGTGCACTAACACAATTTCACTCACTGGTGTCACCACTCTAAGGCCGTTTGTTTGTTTGTTGGTTTGTTTGTAACTAGATCCAGTGGAAATGTTCTGTAACTTGTAGAAGAAGTTTTTCAAGCCGCATCTTAACTCATCACTTCTGCTTTCAGAACAAGGGGCCTTCTGTCTGAACTACAACTCAACATCTGAACAATGCAACATCATCATTGCTTGCTGGAAGCAATGCATAGTGGGATATCTAGACATGAGAAATAGAGATTGCATCACATCTAGCAGCAGGGAAAGAGACGCAAAGCACACTGGGAATCCAGGAAGTTGATGGAAGTGATGGGCAGACGGAAGGCAGCGCTCACTAGATAAAAGGGATTTTTTTCAAGTAAGATTTGATTGGATTATCAGAAACACCTCCAGTATGTATTCCTATTACAATGCTGATGTTATAACAGGAGAGGATATGCTGGGACTTTACCACTCCTAAAGTCGGAATGTGTTTACAGGTATACATAATCAGAATTTAAAGCTGAATCCAGACCAACACAGATTCTCCATACAGTATAAAGAAACTGTTGTACCTTCACTTTACCATTACAGAAAGTTGCATTCATGTGATATAGTTTTATTCCGCAGGCTTTGTTGATTATATTTGGCTGTAACTATATGGGAGTGCACAAATTAAATAAACTTTGCCTTGGAAATGGGTAGAGGAAAATGTTTTTGTTTTTTTCTTTTACTTTTTTGCCAATAAAAACTAAGGCACTACACATATACAGTATGCATTCAAATGTAACGCCCTATCTGTCTTAAGTCAGGAGAGTTTTTCAAGCTCCTGTTGTAGATCCTTGGAGCATGCCGCTCTGGACTTGTGATAGTTCTTGTTAAACAGGCGCTGCACTTTTTTATTCTACCTGATTCAAGCCCCCACAGCCACTCTCCGGCAAATGGAACAAATCTTAAAGTGAACCTGTGCTCATTAAAAACCTTCTGAACTGTATTCTAAAGCTGGCCATACACCTATTGACTTTCGTTTGGAACGTTTTGTTGCTGCCAAGAACCCTCTTTTGATTCTAGCTCAAATAGCCCAACAAGCACAGACCAATGTCGTTTTCAAAAATCGTTTGTTAGCAATACTAACTCCCCAAATCTCGTCGATCAACAGAGGCACAGTAAAAAAAAATCATTAGGTTCCCATGAACTGATCGATTATCATCCGTAAGACCATTCGTGGACGATTTCCGGACGATAATCGATAGGTGAATGGGCACCTTTATACTTTGCAGAACACTCCACAAGCCACAAAGCCACAAACTCTAGCTATGGTGAAACTCCAACTCCCACCTATGTCTCTGGGAGTCATACCTGTGGCTGTCAGAGTCTCGCAATGCCTTATCGCACATGTAGTTTCACAGCTGGAGGACCTAGGTTGCCAACCCCTGCTCTATTCTACACTACCTTCCTGTCTTTCTCTAATGATCCTAATCTTTAAGTGTCCATTTGAATAAGTAGATTTGGGTTGGATAGACAGAACCCAATTTAAGAAATGAAAGTCAATTTCTGCATAAAAGAGAGCTACCTAACTCTCTCAATCCCATAATATGTGTAGGCACCCCCTTAGGATGCTGGTATCTTAGTTCACACAGGTTCACTTTAAATGGAGTTGTCTCAAACTTGCATTGTAGAGATTAGTGTGTATATAAAACAATCCAGTTGCAAATAGGTATCCAAGTATACTAAAGTTTTTCGGCGACACAATATTTTGGAAAAATCAGCTTGCACTTCAAAAAATATACTTGTCGGAAGGTTTATCTTTATCCATTGTAACGTTCGGGAGCTCACAGAGCACTCACACAGGGTTTTTGATAACTGTTTATTCTTTTTTCAAAGGCAGACAACTAAGGAAGTCCAACATAAAACAGCTTGTCTTCAGCATAAGATATATTGGTTTACCAGTTTTCCTGTTGTGCCACACACTCGCAGTGTCCCAGTCCTTTAACGTTTTTCTCTTACAGCACTGCTGCTCAAGCCTCAGAGCCACTGTCTGTTTCCTCCAGCCTCCCTGGCTGTTCTTGGTGTGGCTTCAACACACCCCCTGCCTTGGCCCTCGTATGCCTTCAGCACACACCACCTGCCTTGGCCCTTGTATGCCTCCAGCACACACCACCTGGCTAAGCGCTCATATGCCTCCAGTGCACACCACCTGCCTTGGCCCTCGTATGCCTCCAGCACACACCACCTGCCTCGGCGCTCATATGCCTCCAGTGCACACCACCTTCCTTGGCCCTCGTATGCCTCCAGCACACACCACCTGCCTCGGCGCTCATATGCCTCCAGTGCACACCACCTTCCTTGGCCCTCGTATGCCTCCAGCACACACCACCTGCCTCGGCGCTTATATGCCTCCTGCCTCGGCCCTCGTATGCCTCCAGTGCACACCACACACCCTCCTCTGAGCTCTGGTCTAGGCTCTTAATAAGGCTGCGCTCATCCACCTGATCACCAGCAACACCTGACCTCAGGACTGGAGATTTCATCCCACCCAGAAATCGCCAGAGATCCAGATCCCAGCTACAATCTGGACAAAACGGAAGAAACTGAAAGGCCAGTTTATTCCCTGCAAAACTAATTGCATTCTGGCACCTCTCAGCCCATCTGGCTAAGAGTCCTGGGTGACCGTGTTGCCAGCATAATCCATGGCATTGCCACGCACTGCCACACCATTAACACAGTTGAGTTGGCTTTACCTGTGTGACAGCTGTGCATCCAGATCTTCTTCCCGTCGTATTTGCATCGACACCTCATCATGTTGTTCCTGAAATCTGATTCCGCCACTTCAAACTTTGGGTTCAAAATGACCTATATTTTATAAAGAATAGATATGAAAAATACATTATTCATTTTATAACCTCAGAAAGCTGCCGGAACATAAAATTCCAAAAAGTCTAATAGACTATATAGAGCTTTCATTCACACAATCTGCTAGATGCACCGAATGAGCTAATAAGACTGTAAACCTTAGACCCAAGGTCAGCATGTACAGCATTCTGCTAATGTGCAAGTTATATATCAAACAGCTGCACGATGAATTGTATCTTTACCCCGGTGACATTGTGGGTAATGACTATAGATTTATGAAGAGTTATGTGCTACAGGAGACACAGCCGGTAAAATAAGGTTTTGGTCATATTTATTTGATCTAACTTGCAAACTAATAGAAAAAATGCTACCTTGCCGTAAAATTAGATGATTTATTGGTGCATTGGGGAATAGGTAACATTTGAACCTAGACTGCATCCACCTTTTCAGAATACATTTTATTTACCATATTTTAACTTTTTTTATGCTATGTATGGAAACAGCATTCTATTTTAAAATGTGTTGCAAAGGTCTCTGTCAGGAAGCCTGAGCAGCCTAAGCTCTGCACAAGTGCCTGCTCATGTGCATGTGTATGGGCACAGTTTGGCGCATAGAATTGTGCACGGCTGTATGCCTCTGCATGGGTGGCGTGCGTGCAGATGTGTGCACAGGCTCATTTCGAATTGTGGTGCCAAATGGGCTATTTAAGGCTGAGACATCTTAGCCTAAATGCTGAGGGATCTTCAGTAGTTCCATGCCATTGAGGTTCCTGCATCCTGCATCCTGATTGCAATCTCCCATTGCTGAACCGGCTTGCCTTGACCTTCCGATTGCTGTTCTGAATCCCTTGACCTCAGCTTGTTTTTGGACTACGCTTCTGTCTGCTGTCTTTTACCACGCTGTGCGCAAGGCATCGACCCAACCTGTCCCTGACTATGTCTCATCCATTGTCTTGGTACCTCGCTGCCCAATTGCTGCTGACTCAGCTAGACCTGACCTCACTTTCAAAGATCTGCGTTCTTCATTTATTCCTGCTTGGGAGACATCTGCACTACTGATCACAGCATTCCCAGTGACTGTGCTATCTTCCAGCACCCATGCCAGCATTCCCAGCGACTGTGCTATCTTCCAGCACTTCTTGTCCCGGTGCAACTGTTCTACTCTCCAGGGGTGCTTGAAAGAAAGGCCTCTGTTATCATCCCAGGCTTTCCCCCAAGGCATGTGACATTCTCCCAATCTTCCAACCTCATAATTTGTCTTTTTTGTTAAATCTTCTTTTATTACATTTTCAATATAAAACAATACAAAAAATCCACTTCACAATTTGATAAGCACTGTAGGGGGTACCACCTTTTTTACCATGATATGTACCATAAAACAGGAAGGGGGTGTATCGAAATGAGGACAAGAGCACATATAGTGTATAAGAATAGTGGAATAGAAACAAAGAAGGAAGAGAGAGAAACGGGAAGAGTGGAAACAAGTTGAGATGTTTCTCGTCCTTTCGACCATGGCCAGACCAAAGGGAAATATTATCATGCAAGAACCAAGTTTTGAAACTCTTCAGAATACTGGAACACCAGCTAAGCTGCCCAAGTGATCATGAATGGGTCCATCCTGTCATGTTCAAGGCATTCAAGGTCCATAATAGGGGCCAATTTGGTTGCCCAATCTGCCAAAGAAGGTATTTGAGGGGATTGGCAATAGTGAGAGCATGCACAGTTCTTAGACCTCTGGACCAAAGGGGAGAAGGGGATGTGGAGACCAGTCTATCGGCTCAGAGGGAGCTAGCATGAGTGGGGATTAGCTAAGTAAAGCAGATTTTTCCTGTACATGTTCAGGCCAGCATACATTTTGCAATTTTTACATTCAGCTCATTTGCAGTCATCATTGTAACTGGATCACGAAGGTGAACAACAATGCATTAAGTAACCAGGGCCAAGGACCACAACCTGTTGGAAGGGACCATTTAAGCTAAGCCCAGCCATGCTGTGTGTTACCCGGTCACCCAACTGGAAAGCAGAACTCACATCTGTGGGGATCTCTGATGCCTTCCGTGTTCTGGTTTAGGATAGGAATAAAAGTTTATGGCTTCTGGCACTTAAGACATGTGGTTTAGATGCCATTCTAGTTCTTGTTAGTCCTAGTCTGCAGGCACAGACAGGTGAAATATAAACAGAGCAATATTGTACTGGCCTGGAACTGTGATGACAACTCTCAAAGCAAAGGCTTAAAACAGGTTACACTTGCAAAGTTATTTGGTGTCCTCAAAACAGCCTATGTACTGTATATGCCTTAAAGTTACTTCTTCCTACTCTTCTTTGCAACATGATTTTTGCTTCAAAAAGACACAACGTTAAGTTTAGCAGTACACAGTGTAATGGTATTTGGTAAAGTGCAATAACTTATAGCACCTAATGATTGTTATTTACTGCTGCCTTGGTTCATTCCGACTGTTGTTATAAGTTGCTGCACTTTGCTTTTGGCCATACTGAACAAACCCACTAGTGGCTGAATCTGAGGCATGGTTTAAAGTGATATTTGGATACCAAGCTCCAATTGGGGAAAATAATGCAAAAATCAATGGCGGTAATTCCCACAGTGCCGACTCACATTCTACTTCTCCTCTTTCGGTTACAGTAAAGTTTATGTGGGCCTGAATCACTTTTTGCACTGCACATTCTTAACACATACAGTATGGCGTTCTCTTTTTATGTAAGTCCTTCTGGCTTTTTCATGGCTGTAGCACACCCAGTATAAACATATGTAGGTTCTCACCTGGAAAATATAGTCTCCTGGGCCAACATCTGTAATGTCTACCCACTGGCAGTCTATGTCATGGCGGTAGGTATCCCAGCAGCCCACTGTTATTCCTTGTTCACCAAAGTTGGCACACTCGTAGCGCTTCTGGATTCCTGCATATTTAACATTGTTATTTGTAAACCTAATTTCAAAAAGCACAATAGGGTCAGTGACAACAGAACATAATAATATATTTGATTACAAACGTTTCCCGCTAAAAATACAGAGCAGAGATCACCTGTGTAGAAGGGAATATGTTTTGGCAGAATCTGATGTCAATCCTGCGCATGTGTCCCTTGCCCTGTGCAAGCTCCTTGAGCTATTTCCCTTTTAACATCAGTGGAGTCTACAGTATTTTGAATGGCCAGCTAGCAATTGTTTTAAAGCAGAAGTACAGACAAAACTTTTTTTTCTAGTTTTGAACAAAATAAGGAATGTATATAATGTCTTTTAGGTTTTTATTAATGCGGGGCAGAATAAGGTGGATCTCATTCAATCATGTATACAAACAGCAACTAGCATTACATTGTTTTTAGAATGTGAAGAGATTAGAGTTAGAAGTCTTTGTCCCTCCGTATGGTGTATTTCCCACTTCCTGGAGGATAATTAGGACTGGAAGGAAGGTACAATTTCCCCAATGGCAATAACATACTAACAGAAGTTCTGTGTCTCCCATTTGGGGTGATACCCCACCTTCATGGGGGGATTACTAGGACTGGAACAGTAGTAAGATTTCCCCAATGACAATAGCATACTGACAGACGTTTTTGTCCTCCACGTGGGCTGATACCCCACTTTTATAGAAGATAACTTGGGCTGGAAGGAAGGTAATATTTCCCCAGTGGCAATAACATACTGACAGAAGTGATGTGTCTTCCACATGGGGTGATACCCCACTTTCATGGGGATAGCTAGGATTAGAAGGGAGGTAACATTTACCCAATGGCAATAGCATACTGACAGACGTTCTGTGTCCTCCACTTGGGCTGATACCCCACCTTTATGGGGGATAATTAGGATTGGAAGGGAGGTAACATTTCCCTAATGGCAACAACACATTTACAGAAATTCTAATTCTACTGCACTGTACCTAGCACTAACAAAAGGTATAGTTGGGCTTTAAACTTTTTGTATAGTTTAAAACCCAGAACTCTAATATCATCTACCAAGCAGCCATCGAAGATGACCGATTCCCTATTCCAAGGGTTTTTGCATCCCTTGTTAAGAAATTACAAATGTATTGAGCAAGGTCTTGCTTTCTTTTAGCCAATGCAGCTGGTTGAGCTGTTTGTAGAAGGAAAAGGAAGATAGACTGCTCACACAGGTGCTGAACACAGACATTCCTAACCTTGGCAGTAACAGCAAATGAGGAGCATGATAAAAAAAAATGTGTCATTCAGAGTAAAATAATGATATTGTCAGGATTATGTTATGTAGTTACTTCAGTATTATTTGTGTTACCTTTACAGCAGAAGCACCCAGATTAACTGACTACCTTCCAGACCTGTCTGGGTGTGTGTTAGGTACATTAGCTACATTACAGAATTATAAGATTAATTCAATGTTCTTTTTTAAAGCACATGGGCATATTAATTTTGGCCTTTTATATATATGCTCACAAAAATCTCTGCTGAAGGAAATACATAGGCTACCATTGAAGAGCTCCTTCTGGAAATACTAGTTGCCTGGCTGTATCTGGCCTCAGTACTTTCTGAGTTGCTGACCCAGGACAATTCTGCAGTGTTTGAACTGAAAACTCAAGTGATTGAAGAGTTCTGAGCTGAAATCACTGCAAAATTATTATGTGTACTTGTTGCAGGTCAGTACATACTAAAGCAATTGGAACACCATGGCTGCCAACCAATATTCTCAAAAGCAATGCTCTGCAGCCGGGGCGTCAAGAGGCCGGGTGTCACCCGGAGCAGATACCAGGTGACACCACGCCGTGAAGTCATCGCACAGTCATCTTTTTGATACTTGCCGGTGGCAATCTTGGTAATGGACGCCGGCAGAGAGAGGAGGGGACGTTCATCCGGTGGGATAAGGTATGTCACCGGGCCCCCTTCTCTCTCCTTCAGCTGTCAGTCTCTCGGCCCATGACCGAGTAGCCGGCTTTTCAGAGGGGGTGACACCAAAATGACTGTCAGTCACCCTTTCAATGGTGTCACCCGAGTGCCCCCCCGCACCCCCCTTGTGATAGTCTACATATTTCCCCTATCGCAAGTTTCCTTTAAACCATTAAGATGTGCATTTTAAAGCTTTTAGCAGGTACGGTGACCTACCTTTTCCACAGCGTGTGTCTTCAAGGCAAAAACTCGCTTTGTGGCCTTCAGCGACTTTGGTACCATTCATATTCAAGAGGTCATAGTGGGTGAAGACTTCAATGCTGTGGTAGTGTCTGAATAAGAAAAGAATAGCACAAAATAATACTGTAGAAGGATAATGGCTTTCCATAAACACTGGGGTGTATGTACAGAATGACACTGCGGTAAGGCTATAAAATGGATGAAAGAAAACATAATTGATGCTTTTCTTCAGTAATGTATGTACTAATTACTGGGCGTTGCCTAGAGATCTATTTACAAAGATCTGTGCCAGGGTGTTTTATAGGAACGGATGAGGAAATTTAAAGACACTGTCCAACCATAACTCTGAAATATTCCATCATGTCTGTCTATTCCAATTCTATGTACAGTAGGTTAAACTCGATGGACTTGTGTCTTTTTTCAACCTCACTATGTAACTATTTTAGTGCATGGGGGGAAAAAATGCAACAGTAGAAACCTCAACAAACCTTAAATACAAGAGCGACTAGTTTAAAGTCACACTAAACTCAGGAGTTAAATCTTAAAAATACATTCAAGTACCTTCAGTATAACAAAAATGTATCTTATTTGTGTATCACTCGGCTATAGATCCTCAATTCATCTCTGAATTGGTGCTGACACTGTCCTTACTTCTGGAGGGTGGCTACTTTTCTTCCCCATGGTCCCTGTGTATGTTGTAAAGTAGTCACCGCTCAAAGATCACTCCTGTGATGGACTAAAGTCACAATACAAATTAGCTAACTAAACATGAGATTGTAGTCCATCACGGGAGCAAGCTTGGATTGGTGACTACTTTACATCACACACAGGGACCATGGGGAACAAAAGTAGCCGCAAATAGGCAAATAGTATTTTATAGAGGAGGTTAGCAATACAGGTTCCGGTCTTCCTCTCACCAGTGGTTTCTTTACAGCCAGGGGGGTCTATTAATAAAAAGCTGGACAATATATCTCGACAAACGACCTAATTGTTATTCTGTCCCTCTAACATTTTTTTGTGCTGCTTTCCATCTACTTAGCACATTAGGGTGTATATTTTTATGCCAACAATCCTAATTAGTGAAAGTTTTGTCTACACTTCACTTCTTACCAGTCAGCAGAAGCAGCCTTGAGAGCCTGCTATGATTCCCACCTCTGTAAGTCATTAAAGGAATTATCCTCAGTTACTTTTGCTATTCTGACAGTAAGCACGATTCTGGAGCTAGTCCCCGGCTGGACCACCCTTTAACTTGACTATTATTTTTAAATCATTTATTAAACACAAAGAAGTATGAATGTTATGAAACTGCATTTTTACTACTGGCCGGCTAATGTAATCATATCAAAGTATTGTGGTAATCCCATAGGAACCAGCCAACAATCATCCCCCTATTATTCAGATTTTTTTCGCAGGATGTACTCCAAAAAACGTAGAGTAAACTCGTCATTAAAGTGTGTGGTAATGTCCTAACCTTGATGCCTTGTAATGCACTGCCACATGTAGCATGACCTCCACATACAAGAGTCAAGAGACATTTTACATAACTATGCAAGCAGCTGAGGCTGCTCAACTTCCCCAGATTTTTATACAAAATGAATAATTTTTGTAGGTAAATCTCAGAATATGATAAACAGCACTTTGAACAGTGCCTGAAATCATCCATCTGAAAGAGGAGCTTTTATTTGAACGTCTAAAAACACACAGTTGTAGCATGACATGTTTCAATGTAATACCTTGTGACAAAGCTGGGAGCGTGTAATAAAAAATGCATAAGCAATGGTCAGTATCACAGGTCAAAGCAAACCATGGATTCAAAGATACGGGCTGCTTAAGGCACGTGCAAATCTGGACTTTACCTGTAAATTCGATTTCTTAATTGAACATTACTGGACACAGGATGGTAATTCTGAAACCATGGGTCATACCCTCAGAAGATTGGACACTGGCAAAGCAAAACTGGAAGGGCAGCCCAGTAAAACTCCTCCCTCTCCCAGCAAGCCTCGGTTTTTTATAATAGTGACCTTAGAAGAATGGAGGTCTTCATTTCAAACAATTTTCTCCTTCCTTTTGGATAACCTTTTCCTTTTTTAAGGTTTGTTTTCTAGCACGCGTTCTTCAACTAGCTGCAGAGCTACTAAGGCTCCTTCTTCCAGTTGTCACATTGGTTACTCCTCAGCTTCACCCTTGGGACAGTACCCAGGCCCCTGCAAGATGAAGATGCAGGGCCACCATGTAATGTCGCCCTCTGTGGACTGAATACTGTGTGGGATGCTCACCTAGGCATGTAGTGCAACCAGTTGAGTTAGAAGCAGGGTACTATACATGTCCAGGGCCGTAGTACTGCCACCTGGTGAAACCATGTCTCTGAAGACTTATGAGGATGTATGCTCACCAGGAAAGCAAATGCTGCTATTGTGATTGTTGCCTAATATCCTACTTATCTGCTTGGGAACCATAGAGTAAACACCACAGCTGTGGTAAGTCAGGACCTTTGCTCTTTCTGGGAGCCTAGGTATGCGGTGCTCTGAGTGCCGTAGGGGTCAACAGGCAGAGGGCTGGTTGCAATTTAATCTGTTAAAAGCAGGCTGGCAGGAGAAAAGACCGGAGTTTTTTTTACCATACCCTCTAGAACAGTAGTTCTCAACCTGTGTAATCTCAGGACCCACATTTGTCCTTGATCATTAAGTTGTGACCCAAGTCAAACTGCAGTGGAGCGCACGACAGTGTGGGCTGCTGTGATGCGATGGAACTTCATCCATATGTTTATTGCTTGTACAGCTCCCATGCACGCCCTGTAGAGGTGCCAAGAGCCAGAATGTGATGTCACTCCAGTCCAGGCACCTCTACAGGACATGCGAGGGAGGTATAAGCATTGCACGTATGGTTGGAGCTCCCTCGCAGCCATAAACCCAGCCCACCCCACCTAAAGTCAACACTCCGAGCCAGGCAGCATATTTTGAATGGCTGCTCAGTGTAAGAATGGACAATGTTGTGCCAGCCTTCCACCTAGAAAAGTGGAAGGCATGTGGCGACCCACTGTACCCTGTAGAGGTGCCGAGAGCCAGAATGTGATGTCACTCCAGTCCAGGCACCCCTACAGGACATGCGAGGGAGGTATAAGCATTGCATGTATGGTTGGAGCTCCCTCGCAGCCATAAACCCAGCCCACCCCACCTAAAGTTAACACTCCGAGCCGGGCAGCATATTTTAAATGGCTGCTCAGTGTAAGAATGGACAATGTTGTGCCAGCCTTCCACCTAGAAAAGTGGAAGGCATGTGGCGACCCACTGTACACGGGGTTGCGACCCACCAGTTGAAAACCAAGGCTCTAGAAGTATTGCTCTCCTCTACAATACAAATAGAAGTGTTCCACAGAAATGAACTAGATAATTTGGGGAGAATTAAAAAGTAGAGGGTAACTCTATGAATGAACTGTATGGAGGGTATCCTCAACACATATCTTCTAATAGCTGTAGTATTACAGCTGTGCTTTCCTGATCTACGTCTGGTTATATAGCTATATCTAGTTATAGAATACATGCTCCCTAGTTACGGTATTCCCTGCAGCCCCAAGTAGGGACTGGTGTCCCACATATTTGATTCCTTGGTTCAGGTCTTCTCATATTCTGTGGAGTAAGTTTTAATACACTATAAATCAAGTCTCAGAGCCGCTGCTCCAAAAATGGAGGGTAGGTGCAGCAGGTGTCAGCGGGTGATTTCCGACTAAATATTAGACACCGGCACTCCAAAGCAAGTTCAGTATGTGTTTATTAACATACCAGTTGCAAGTAGAGCACTCTAAACAACGTTTCAGGATCTCACAGGATCCCCTTCATGAGGCAAACAAGTGATGTGGCACCCCGAAACGTTGTTTAGAGTGTTCAACTTGCAACTAGTACGTTATAAAAAACATGTACTGAACTTGGTTTGGAGTGCCGGCGTCCATCCTTTACTGGTAGCCAAATCTGACACATTTCATGCAAAACTCCAAAAATGGACTGGACAAAATTATTGGCACCCTCAATTAATATTTGGTAACACAGCCCTTGGAAAAAATAACTGAAATCAATCCCTTCCTGTAACCATCAATGAGTTTCTTACACCTCTCTAGAGGAATTTTGGACCACTCTTTCGCCAACTGCTCCAGGTCTCTCAGATTCCAAGGGTTCCTTTTCCCAACTGCTGTTATACAGTATATATACATGCCATAATAAAGAGACCCTGTAAAGGGGGATTGTGTCAAAAATAATAAAATAAAAAGTGGCCCCTGCATATACATGCACCTTTTTATTTCAACATGTTTTATTTAAAGTGCAACTGAAGCCATTTTTTTTTTTAGACAAGGACGGAACACCATGGAAACATTGACAATAACATTTACATCTATATGAAAAATAAAACTGTTCACTAGATTAATAGGTTTCTTCTAAAAGCTTTTACGGCAAATAAGGGCTGTTCTTCAGAACACCCCACTACTCCCTCCATAACAATGTTCTGTACATAATGCCAGCTTTGGAATATCACCGTACACAATCGCTGCAATAGACAAGCCGCGGGCTCCTGGCTCCGGCGCGATCTGCTGAGGGGGAGTTTATATTAGTCCTGTATGTTTTTCTGCTTATAGAAATCACTTTAGCGGTGCTTAGACATTGCCTGCTGCTCCTGACAAGGTACTGCTGTGAGAGAGGCCTCGTTAGAATCAAGCTCATCTGGTGTTATCACAACTTTGTATTATTCTCTTCTGCGTGAGCTCCTTCTGTGGATGGAAATTCAATACAATCAAAGAAAATCTAATTCGACCTTAACGCTGCTTGTGCAATCTGTTCCTTCTGATGGAAATGTTACAGGGAGGCTGTTCGGCTTTATGCAAAATCCAAGGAAGAGCTAATGATACACTAAAAAATATATTTATTGCAGATTAAACAAAAATGCTTAATATTCAAACTAGATGTAAACCCTAACTGAAGGGCATTGAGTTTGCTAAAAGACTGCTGCTTTTTTTTCCACCTTTTTTCATCCTTTGTTACTTCTCGTGCAGTCACCTCCTGTCTACATGCACCTCAGTGATGGCTGTATGGCATTTCTCAGAGCTGGTTTACTGATGGCGATAACAGTGGAGCACATCTGCCTAATCAGTGTTGAAACAGCCATTTGTAGTCTCTATCAGAAGCCTGCATAACAGGGTGACAATGCTGGAGCCCAATTGGGGATAGGGACAGCGTGTTGCCACCCTATAACAGCAAGTGAACTTCATGGCAGTGTTTGAGTGTTTAATCCCACTTACAAATAATGCATTAAAAAAGGTGCACTCGTTAACAATACACTGTATTTTTGTGTCCCGTGGAATTTTGCCTGAACGTGATGCCACATAGTCAGGGCCATCCTTATGATGAAGCAGCCTTAGGCCTCCTTTTTGGCCAGAGCATCCCAGGTTGCTAAGAGCTCTTAGCAACCTGGGATGCTCTGGTCAGTGTCTCCGTCAAGCTCCTGGCAACCAGCTGCCTGCCCCATAGGCAAACGCCTACACACCGCCTCTGTTAACATTAGTGTTGCCACCTGTCCAGGATTCACCCAGGTTTTGAATGCTGTTTCTGGGTTTCATGGCAGCAGAAACCCAGACACAAGATGTCATACAGACAGGGGCAATCAAAATTAAGATAGGGGCTACTGGCCCCCCAGCGGAAACAGTCTCAACTGTGATATTTACATATGAATGGGTGGCGCTATTTTCATATGAATAAGCCACAACTCATTCTCCCCCAAAAAATTTCCGCGCATCGCAAGAGTGTTTGGGTTTCGCTTGAAGAAAAGGTGGCAACCCTAGGTAACATGCACCACCAACCAACTTCCCAT